CTCTGCCTGCTCTGCCTGCCACTCCCCCTGCTTGTGCGCGCTCTCTCTCTGATAAATAAATGAATAAAATCTTAAAGATTAAAATGGCAAAATTTATGTTATATATATTTTACCATAATAAAATTAAAAAAAAAAACACTGCTGTTTTAAACCACTAGGCTTGGGGTAGTTTGTTACATACCAACAAATGAGCAGAACAGTTCCTCTACACAAATGCAAGTCTAAAATAAGAACTGTGCTACAGTTAGCATTACTTCCCAAATACATATTGGCTATATTATAGGGCTTCATTTTAAGAAATCCTGCCTATTTAATTTTTTAATTTCCTAGCAGCATCTTCTGCAAAGAAGATTTAATACAAATATTAAAATAAAATATGCAAACAGATTTTAGACTCGAAGTTAATACTGAATTATATGTAAAATTAGCATCCTATGTGGCATTTAGGGATAAATTAAAAATCTTTTATGGAAGTGAAAATAATTATAACCAAAGTAGGTATTTCTGGGATCCACCTGGAGGAAAGGAACGGAAAGAATTCATGGCCTTCCTGCCCCTAATCTATTCTTCCCCTCACAACCTACATTTGATGAGAAAAGAGAGATGCCCTACCTTAAGTCAAGCCACCACATCCTAATTCCGAACTGTATCAAACAAGCTATACTACAGAAAGCAGAAGTGAGAGTGTGGGGCAGAGAGAATGGTTGACACAAAGAGAAAAGTGACAGAAAAATACAAAAAAAATACATAAATAACACCTGGTGGGAGAAAAATGGGGGACATATTCAGAACAATGAAACCTTGTTATTTAAGCTTTCCTAATTCTTAGCACCAAAATAGTATGAATTTTTATTTGATTCTGTGACTGAATGAATACGGCAGATCTGGGTATGAAGTTAATAGCCAGAGAACTGTCTGGGGTACTGAACTCTGACACCAGGTAATAAGAAGTGGATATAAGAAACAATCTTGAGGGCCCCTGGCTGGCTCAGCTTGAGTGTGCAACTCCTGATCTCAGGGTGGTGAGTTCAAGCCGCAGGTTGGGTGCAGACATTACTTAAATAAATAAATACTTAAATCTTCAACTGGTCCGTCCTTCTCTCTAAAAATGAAGGCTTATAAGGACTTTCTACTTCCAAAATAGCAAGGAAGGAAGGAATAAAATGTGAGTAGCATGTAGTTCTATATTAATACATGATTTGAAACCGATGTGTATAACAAACTGTGGGCAGAAGCACTTAATGGAGCTATGTACAACAGTGTTTATAGGTGTATTTTGAATGTGTTATAAAAGTTATCAGACATGACTGCTACATTAGTTTCAGAATCCTTAACTATACAGAAAGAAGGCTATTTGTGAACTACAGATCTTGATGCTTAATGTAACATTGGTAGTAAACAATCTGCTGTCCTTTCAAACAGATAACTTTTGTAAGGCCTTTAACAGTTCTAAAATTAATATATAATTGTAACTTATCTAAGTAACAAAACCATTTGTTTATTTATTTATTTTAAAAAGTAGGCTGCACACCCAACAGGGGGCCTGAACTCATGACACTGAAATCAGGAGTTGCATGCTCTACCAAATGAGCCAGCCAGGCAACCCTAAGCAACAAAACTGTTAGTGATAGTTTTCAGCTTTCTGTAACTAGGGTTGATCACAACATCTCAGACTCCGTTTCTTCATCTGGAAAATCAGAACAGAACCAAATAACCTCTAAACTACCTTTTGGTTCTAAAATTCTAAATATCCATGTTATCTCCCTGGTAGACAATCTCAGATAAAGACTTAGTTGCAATTCAAAATATTTTCAAATTATCCTTCATTTCAAAAATACAAATATTTCTCTAATCCACATTATTTTTTTCTAATCCAATATTAATACAAAGTATTCATTTGTCCACTGACCAAATATTTGCTGGGCACCTAACTATGTGCCAGGCATTGGACTTGGTGCTGGCAGGGTACAAAAATAAACAAAAAGAGATTTGGTACCTGTATTCATGAACATATGCATAAGTGTCATATTCACATCTGTAATAAATGATATGCAGGAGCTAAAAGAACACATAATGGGGAATCTAAGAGACTTCCCTTAAGAAAAACAAATGAGTGACAAAAGAACAAATGAATGACGAAGTTGAGAAGAGTACACGTATGGGTTATGTAATGTGGAATCTGTCTAGGCAGAAATGAACATGGCATGTTCAAGGAACTGATCGAAGGCCAGTGTGACTGGACATAAGAATATGTAAAATAATTCCTCGGAAACTGAAATTAAAACCTGTAATATATATACAAAAGTATACCTTAGCTATTCTAAAGACATATTCTAAGAACCATTTTCTTTTTTGAAGATTTTATTTGACAGAGAGAGAGACAGCGAGAGAGGCAACACAAGCAGGAGGGAGTGGGAGAGGGAGAAGCAGGCTTCCCGCTGAGCAGGGAGCAGACGCGGGGCTCGATCCCAGGACCCTGGGAGCATGACCTGAGCTGAAGGCAGACGCTTAACGACTGAGCCACCCAGGTGCCCCTAAGAACCATTTTCAAGAAAGCTTCAAAGCATTACAATTGTTTCTAATGTTAAAAAAAATGCTGTCCTATATCTCCTTGCAAAAGAACAAATGAATTCATTGATTCCCTTCTCTTTTCACTTTACCGTTTTCAATTGCATAATAAAAATACCTTCTTAGTTCTACTTAGATTCCTTTGAAGAAAATCAGCTATAAGAATGAAAATAAATATGATACTATTGCCCTGGCTCTGCCACTAAGCCACTTTATGACTGATCTCAGTACATGTTACTTGGCCACTTTGGGCCTAAATTTTCTCATTTGTGAAATACAGGGAGTTCTAGAATTTCCTTTAAGATCCTTCTAACTCTAAAATTATGGTTCTATTGTAAAAATGTTTGTCCCATTCTTGAAAACTGAAGAGAATGGACCAAACATCTCTGAATTTCACTAAGATTTTACCTGCCTTTAAGCTCTGTTTGCATTTATACAGCATTTGAACATTGTTGCTATGTTATAATTAAAAAAAAACTACTTAATTTATAAAATTTGCCATAATTAAGGGCTTAATAAACACAAGAATTATCAAAAATAGTTAAACATTGTTAAAAATCTATGCTTCCAATGAGACAGTACTACTTTAACTAACCAGGGATCCCTAGAAAGCACAAAGTCAAAACAGACTTAGAAAAACAAGGGGAAAAATCATAAGATTCTTGAGAAAAGCAAAATTTTAGCAGGACATTCAAACTGGTTAATATGTATGTCAATTTTAACTTCCAAAAGAACACATAACAAATGATTTCCTAACCCAAAGCTCGTTCTAGACTTGGTTATATGTCCATTTATATAACAGTATTTCTAATAATCTATCTGCAAGTAGAAAAAGTACATATGGTCGTAACTTTTTAAACCAGATTATCCATCACTAGAATTCAAGATTTCAATACTCCTGATATGAAAATAAAAAATTAAAAATCTATAAATTGTTTACTTAACAGCTTTGTATTTCATAATTTTTCAGCATCTCCAAACATTCACTATAACCTTAAGAAGCATCAATTAAGCACCTCACCTCGTGTATAATCTTTAGTATCAAGTTTATTTTAATGGAAGGTATTGTGTCCTTTTCCTTCAAAAGAGGCAACAAATTGCAGAATCTCATTAGATTTTAAAAACTAAGGTAAAGGAATACTTTAAATATTCATTAATCACTCACAACTTCATAAACATTTAGTAGGCACTATATTAAGCTCTAGAACAAAGGGGCAAGATCATTCCCTAAAAATACATGTCATCAAGTTGCCCAAGGTAGAAACACTGTCAACATTGTTTCTTCCCTCACCTCCCACCAAGTCTGATTGATTCTAACTCTGAAACAATTCTTGGTTCCTTCCCTACCTCTCTTCCCACTACCATTGCCTGGCTTCAAGATTTCAACATCTTTCACCTACATTATTATCAGTTTCCTAGCTGGACTCCCTGCCTCAAGTCTTTTCCTTTCCTTGTTCCAATCTAGCCCTAGTTGTGACAAACAAAATATTTTCAGCACTGACAAATGTTCCCTGGGGGTCAAAGATGCCCTGGCTGAGGGGCACCTGGGTGGCTCAGTTGGTTCAGTGTTGAACTCTTGATCTCAGCTCAGGTCTTGATCTCAGGGTGGTGAGTTCAAGCCCGGCACTGGGCTCCACACTGGCCATGGAGCCTACTTTAAAAAAAAAGAAAAGAAAGAAAGAAAAAGAAAATGCCCTGGCTGAGAACCACTGCATCAAGTTGATCCCTTCACAAGAACAGCACTTATCTTGTAAGGCTGTGGGCACAATCTATGTCCATGCAACAGAAAGCAAAAATCTGACCAATATAAGCCTGAAACTTACAACCTTGATCTTAGGGTCACCATGGTTTAAATAAGCTAACTTTTTTAGAGCTAAAATATTCTCTCTTGAAAACCCCTTTGACCATGTGGACCTAAATTATCACCTTACTTCAAGTTTGAATTTTGAAGTCAGTACATTCTGTCAAAGTTTAACCATACTAAATTCATATTTAAGCTTCTGGATATTAGAAAATTGGGACAATTAAATAAAATGCTTTGGTGATTAAATCGGTCTCCTCAGAAATTAATGGAAATAGGAACCCTCCTAGGCAAGCTATTGCCTACATTTAAGGTTGTAAGCTACTCTGAACAGTATTCTCATAAATATTTCTAGAAAAAAGTTCTAAAAAAGCACCTAAATTCTTATGCTTGAAAAAACAGGCACACTCCTTTTAATTTCACATAATGATTATATCCCTACAGAACTATTTAAAGATACAGCCAAGAAAGAACAATACCTTTCAGAGAGAGTAAAAAAACGAGATGATACCTAAAAAAAACCCGGGTAGGTGAAACTGCAAAGGCCAGGCCTAGCAGTGCAGTAATACCACAGGAGAGCACCTCCTACCACAAACGTTCTGAAGAGTGAACCCTGTGTCCAGACGCTCACCTTCAGTCGCTTGATCATTTCATCCGTGGTGATCTTGTCGGTGATCTCCTTTACCCCGGGAGGGTAAGCGATCTTCCCGTCTGCACTCACGACGCCACAGAGGGCCGTGGCAGGCTTGGGCTGCGCGGTGAAGTCCATCCTGGGGGACAACTTTTCTTTCACAGTCCTCTACCGGCCTCTATCGGTCAGAAAACAAAAGTTCAGCGAGAAAAGGGAGACTTTGTAACCTCTTTTTTCATTTCAAAAATCTCTAATCTGCAAAGGGCCCTTTATCCGGGGAGGCCGGGGACTCGGCGGCGGCCCCGCCACTCGCCCCTCCCCGGGCCTAGACCCTGGTGGCCGCCCCGCCAGCCGGACTCACGCGGGCCCCGCCAGCTGCGGGCCCACGGGGCTCTCCGGCACCAGCCGCCGCGGCCGCGGGAAGCGCCGAGCAGCGCCAGGAGTTTCCCATTCCGCCTTTCACAATGAAATCCACCCCCAAGCACCGAGGTCCGAAGTTTGGCAGCCTCCCGAGCCCGGCGAGGCCCTCACGGCCCCCGCTCGGTCGGAGAGAAGCCCCGAGTCCCCCGCCCGGCCAGTCCCCTCCGGGAAAGGAGACGCGAGGCCTATAGGGCTCGGCTTAGGCCGCAAAACTAGGGACCCAACCGGACCCACATGCAGCGATGGCTCCGGGAAACGAACGCCTTTGCCGGGCCGAGCTTCGGGACCCCAGGCGTCCCCGCCACGCTCCCGCCCCTCCCCTGTCCCGCGGGAGGGGAAAACAAGACGCCCTCCACCCCAAACCCCACGCCAGGAAGCGGCTGACGCGGCTCCGCACTTCACATTTTGTTCCTTCAACTTCGGCGGAGGGACCCTGGCGGCTTCTCTCGCCCCCCGACTGCTCGGCGCCGTCCGGCGCTGCCGAGGCCTTACTGGCACCTCCGGGCAGCCCCGCCGGGCCTCGGTCCCGCGCCCCCCCCCCCCGCCCCGGTCTCCCCTTCCGTCCCCTCCCTCCACCAACCGAGGGCGGGAGCCGAGCCACCGCCGCCTTTACCTCCTCCTCCTCATGCGGGCGGAAGGTGCATCGAGCGCCCGGGCCTCTGTCAGGTGGTTGCGCCGCCGCCCCTCGTCGGGCTGCACACAAAGCGGCTCCGCGGGTCCCGCCGCCGCCGCCGCCGCCGCCCGCCCGGGAGCGGCGCTGGGGCTGGCGGTGCCGAGGAGGAGCAGCCGCCGCGGGGGGAGACGCGGGGCGAGTGTGCGCTGGGCGGGGAGACACTGCCGCTCTCCGTCTGGCCGAGGAAGAGCAGCCTCAGAGAAGGCACCTCCGGGAGCGTGTGCGCCCGTGTCCGCCCGGGACCCCCGCGGCCCGCCCGCCCACACCTCGCGCGGGCCGGCTCCGCCGACCGGGACCCGGGACCCGGACGCCCCTCGCAGCGGCGCGCGCCCGGCCGTCCGTGCCCCCGGGAGCCGGCTCTTCGCGCACACACCAGCCGGTCACGCGAGCGGTGCGAGAGCACGCGAGAGCAGGGCGCGCGCCTCGCTCCCTCCCCTTCCTTCGCCGGCCGTGCCTCCGCCTCCCTCGGGCCCGAGGCAGCAGCGCGCGAGGCGGACAGCGCCGCCACCCGGTTGGCGCCAAGACTTGCGCCTCTGGGAGGATTGGACCCAAAGGGCAAGCGAGGAGGGGCCCCTGTGGCGGGAAGAGAACCCGGTCCCAGAGGCCCTTGTGAGGGCACGCAGGACGAACTGAGCTTTACGTTATGCCGCGAAGATGAGTTCGTGACTTTTGGGGGTCATCCTGAGAGACATGGACGGAACTGGTTGAAAGACGGTTAATTACTCGGTGAAAAGGAACTGATTTCCTCCCCAGGAACAGAAGATATGCAAACTGAGGAAAAGTTTTACAACATGGCACAACGTGAGCTACTCATTCTTGTTCCTTCTGACAGCCACCAGAGTTTTTGCCTTCCCCTCTTTGCATTTCTAAAATTAATATTTTGAAAGATGCAAAATATGAAAACAGCTTTGAGTCGAGTAGTTCTCAAAGAATGGTCTGAAACGTAGGTTCCTGGGCTCCACTCCCAAACCTAGAGAATAAGGATCTCTGAGTGACACCCAGAAGTAAGCATGTTTACAAATTAGCTAGATGGTTCTTGTGAATATGGAAATAAAAATATTTCTTAAAAATGTTTTAAATATACCCAGAATAACTTTTTCTTTCATCCAAAGGAAGACCCAATGCAGTGGGTTTGAGCAGTTTAATGTAAAAAAATAAATAAATTAAGCAAATGAACCTCAGGTGCACATGTATCAGAAGATGAAGTTGAAAAAAGAATACAATAATATGAAATAGCATTCAGCTTTTGAAACTGACCACTACCATAGTTTAAAATTATATTTGATTATTATTCTTGATGGATATCCATTGGTCTTTTCCACATCCTTTACTTGGTCTGAAAAATATTGAAGGTACTGTACTCGCTGAATTGTTTTGTTTTTTTTTTTAAAGATTTTATTTATTTATTTGACAGAGACAGTGAGAGCAGGAACACAAGCAGGAGGAGTGGGAGAGGGAGAAGCAGGCTTCCCACCGAGCAGGGAGCCCGATGCAGGGCTCGATCCCAGGACCCTGGGATCATGACCTGAGCCAAAGGCAGTCGCCCAACCAACTGAGCCACCCAGGCACCCTCACTGAATTGTTTTTCAGGTATTACACAAGGGAGCAATCATCTTGGAATGGAACTGGCCATAGTTGCTCATTTGCTAGAACTGCCCAAAAGTCAGTGCTTTGTTTTTGGGCACTTGGAGTAGCCAACAATCCATGTAAGTTCATCTTCATCCAAACAATTAAACCGACCAAAACTACTCTCTTTTAAGTGCTCCCTCTCAAGGTGGTTTTTTTTTTCTCTTCAAATCTGTCATATTTAAATAAGAAAAGAGTGGTGCTTTTTGTTTTCATTTTTTCTCTTGAGTAATTTACTCATTATTAAATGGAGTTTTGTATATGCTCAGCAATTTTAATTTTACACAATTTATGACTTTGTTAATATTGTTTGACTTTATAAACACTCACAAGATTAGTAAACCCTAAGGATTACAACACACAAATAAATTGAACTTAGGGGCGCCTGGATGACTCAGTTGGCTAAGGGACTGACTCTTGATTTCCGCTCAGGTCATGATCCCAGGGTTGTGAGATCAAGCCCCGTGTTGGGCTCTGCACTGGGCAAAGAGACTGCTTAAGATTCTCCATTCTTTCTCCCTCTCCCTCTGCTCCCCTCCCCCCCCCAAATTAACTAATAAATAAATAAATAAATGGAATTTATACAATTCTAAAATTCAGGAATTCTGAAATCTCTGCTTTTAACCTCCTTTCTTAAACATTTGTTTCCACTTGCAGTAAATGAGAAGGGATACATTTATTTGTGCAATGATTATTTAGAGTGCCTGCTATGCAAGGCATTGTTTTGGGCACTTAGAAAAAAATTGGTAATGGAGAAGGGGACAGAAATCCCTGCCCACCCTGGTGGAACTTAATTTGGGGAGAGACAGACAAGAGAATAAGTAAATTGCTATGGAGGAAAATGGAGTAGAAGAGGAATGCAGATCACATGTAGCCTTTTAGGCCCTTGGTCTTTGGAAGGACTTTGGCTTATACTATGACTGAGATGGGGGAATTATTGAAGTAGTTTAAACAGAGAAGTGACATGATACGATTTATGTTCCATGAGCCAGGAAACCTTGGGCAAATTACTTAGTCTTCCTGTGCCTTATTTTCCTTTCATCTGTAAAACAGGGATAATAGTTTCTATCTCTGAGGGTCATTATGAGTAATAAATAAGTTGACATTTGTAAAGTGCCTAAAATAGTAACTGGTACATACTAGGCTCTACATAAGTTTTATATATATATATATATACATATATAAAATGAAAGAATCATTCTAGCTGCCGGGTTGAAAACAATGTAGAAGTACAAGTATAGAATTAAGGTAATCAAGTATAAAACAACTACAAAAATCCCAAGGAGAGATGGTGATAAGGACCAGGTAATAAAAGTGAAGATGATGAAAAATGTGATTATGAATGTGATTATAAAGTGGCTACTATGACCAGGGAGCTGAATTTTTAATTTAATTTAATTTTAAAATCTAGCCACATGTGGCTAGGTGACTATTATATTGGACAGTGCCATTCTAGAGTATAGGGTTTGGAGGAGTGATTGACAGAAGATGAGGTTAGAAGATAAACTGTGTTCATATTGAATGCTACAGATGTTGAGCAGGATGATAGTTTAAAAGGATGAATTGGAGTAATAGGAGACTGAAGCTGTGCATAGTGAAACTGGACTAAGGTAAAACTATAATCAAACATAAAAATGCACAAATATTTAAGATATTTAAATCAGTTTTTAAAATGTGTCTATTCTGTTTATCTGAAATTACTTATTTGCTCTTCAATTTGAAGTGAACTAGCTAAATCTGTCCTGAGTATTTTTGCAAATTATACATATGAATCATCTGTGTACCTCTGGTCACAGAGAAATTAACCATCTGTCATAATCACTATGAAACTTGAAAAAAATGGTGCTTTATTTTAGTGTCTTTCCAGATACCACTTACATCTTGGCTTAGATTTGCTAAAATTAAAATATATTTAGGCATACAATAATAATTTATCTGTACTGAACTAAATAAGTTTGACATGTTTCACTGATGACTGATAAAAACAAAAAATATGAAGTCTGAATCATTTTGGTCTAATATGACCAAGACGTTAATGATTAACTTGTTTGTCATAGTAATTTAAAGACTTTATTTGAATTCTAATATCTTAGTCTCCATGCACAATCTCTCTTCAGTTTAAACTGTGAAGGCTGACCTGCATCATCATTAGTTATATCAGCTTCCTTTTTTTTTTTTAAAAAAAGATTTTCTGGATTTATTTGAGAGCGAGAGAGAGAAAGAGAGCACAAGCAGGGGGAAGGGCAGAGGGAGAGGAAGAAACAGACTCCCCGCTGAACAGGGAGCCTGATGCAGGGCTCAATCCCAGGACCCTGGGATCATGACCTGAGCTGAAGGCAGATGCTTAACCAACTGAGCCACCCAGGTGCCCCATCAGCTTTCTTAAATTTGTTTAATCAAAATTAAGTATTATTTAACTAGCAGGGGAAAAAAAGTATGACTAAATATCTTCAAAATATGAAAGAAACTACAAGTATAAATAACACGAGTAAATCTTAGTGATGTAATATGATAACTTGTTTATAACGTTCAAAATCAAAGCTCAGGGTAGTGGTTAGCCCTGAAGTACAAAGGGAAGGAGGGTACACAGGGGGACAAGATGGGAGAATGAGTACACAGGTAGATATATTCCTATTAAAGCTTTAGTCTTCGGCAGAATGGTGGCTTCACATATGTTCAATAAAGGATAAGTGAATGAATGTATGAATGAATAAGAAGAGTCCATACACCAATGAGGAATGTGTTTATAACCCAAGGTTGATGATTAAACCAATTCAGGGCATCTGAATTGCAGAAGAGAAAAAAAAATAAGATGACAAACTCAAGAAATTAGAAAAAATAATATTATAATTTAATATTTTTGGAAATTATATCCCCAAAGTCAAAGAAATTATGCCCCCGATAATTTTTTTCTAATAGTGGTGGTAAAATGAGAAATTATTTGGAGTTATATTTTCTTAGATTGCTTCCTTCCTCAAACTGCTAGTGTTAGGACGATAAATGATTATAGGACTGAAAGAATTTTCATGGTAATTAAACTTTGAACAATCCCATTACAGTGTATTTTTATTATGAAGCCTGGGATGCCAGACTCCTGTTGTTTTATATGATTAAAATAATTAAGGAAGTAAACTTATGACAAATGCTTCTTCACTACAGTAAAGGCAGAAGAGATTTATTTATCGAAACATATTAGAGAGGATAATAATTGCCTCCCCTCCTGCAAACTCTTTTAAGAGAGTGGTTCCTATCCCAGCCTTACATATTCTCTCTCTTTCTCTCTCTCACGTGTGTGTGCACATGCGCGCACACGCACACACACACACACACACCTGACTGAGCCTACAGTGGCACCTGAACCAAGAAAATGCAGTCCATAAGCTGAGCTGAGCCAAACAAAATATCATGAGATAGGTTGTGAATGAAGACTCAGCAACAGATGGAATTTTTTTTTTTTTTAAAGATTTTATTTATTTATTTGACAGAGAGATAGAGAGAGAGCACAAGTAGGCAGAGAGAGAGGGAGAAGCAGACTCTCCACTGAGCAGGGAGCCTGACGCGAGGCTCGATCCCGGGACCCTGGGATCATGACCTGAGCCAAAGGCAGCTGCTTAACTGTCTGAGCCACCCAGGCACCCCAACAGATGGAATGTTTAGCTGAATTATATCAATGCAAAACAGTAACAGTCTTTATCTACATATGTGTAGGCTAAGGAAACCTGATGTGTCCTAATTTTTGTCCTGATTGTTCTGTCTTCCTTGGACTCCCCATAAGAATTGTTTCCTTACAGTAAAATCCCTTTCACCTGAGCTAATTTGAGTAAATTTCTGTTCACCACCAAATATGACTTGATTTAGAATTAACAATTGGACTTGATGAAATCGTAATCATGATCCATGAACCCAGCTTTACTGAGTCAAGTAGTACCCCAAAGTCATGTCCACCTGGAACCTCAAAATGTGATCTTATCTGGAAGTAGTTCTTTGCAGGTGTAATTAGTTAAAATGAAGTCATGCTGGATTAGGGTGAGCCCTAAATCCAATGACCGGTATTTTTATAAGAAGATATGCAGGGAAGAAGGCCAGGTGACAAAAGAGATTGGCATGATGTAGCTTCAAGCCAAGGAACGCCAGGGATGACCAGCAAGTACCAGAAGCAAGGAAAGAGGCAAGGAGGGGTTCTTCTCTTGAGCCTTCAGAGCGAATATGGCCTTGCTGCCATCTTGATTTTGGGCTTCTGGCCTCCAGAACAGTAAGATAATGAATTTCTGTTCTTTTAAGCCTTCGAGTTTGTGGTACTTTGTTACAATAGCTCTAGGAAACTATAACACCAGCCATGTGTAAAATTTATCTTAAAGTAGTTTGGTTAGTAGCTGTAAGAAAGCAAAAGCATTTTACTTCTGAGAGACAAATTTCATCACTCTCGTTTTTGGACCTAACCCTGTGCTTTTGAAAGAGACCTGTAGAATATTTATAAAGCTGTGACCAACAGTTTATCTTATCTCTACATTTTTTTTTCAGTCGTACTAAGCTTGTGAGCCTCAATTTATCTCTAGAATCTGCGTTTTCATTTTTCCATTTTCTCACATTCTTAGGAAATAAAAACAATATGCAAGCAAATATTTAAGTAATTACACAACTACGATGGAGAAACTGTAAAAATGGAACTGTTCGTTGGCAACCAGCTTCACCAAGCTTTGGCTCAAAGTGTTCATTTGTCAGCTTATATGCAAAAGCCCAAAACTGGAATTTTGAAAGCAGTTTAGAAATGAGAAGATATAATGTACTAAACGAGGTTGTATAAAATTGAACGGACCGAAGTCATAGTCAGCTTGTTTAATAATCAAATAATTCTTTTATGTTCACTTTATTAAGAATTTTTTATAAGTGCAATATTTTCTATGACTTATAACCATCAAGTGTCATTATAATAACTGTGGCAGACTGTAGGAATAAGTAGCTGAATTTCAAATTTCTGGTTTAACTGGAAATGTAACCACATTAGAACTGGTAGCCAGCACTATCTGACTTGTCCAAGGAATGTGCCAAGAATTTGCACAACTTTTGCCTTCTGAATCTTTTCAAGTAATTCCAGAAACTGAATAGTTCTTGGACTGTGGGCTACCTAGATAGATACTGTTTTGGAAAAACTCTTCGGAGTACAATTATGCATAGATTTATCCAGAGACTAAAGAAAATTAAGCAGGGAATCTGCAGAAAAGTTAATATGAGCTGTTTCACCTTTTTTTTCTTTTTTTTTGTAGGCGTGGAGCCCAACACAGGGCTTGAACTCATGACCCTGGGATCAAGACCTGAGCTGAGATCAAGAGTAGAATACTTAACCAACTGAGCCACCCAGGTGCCCCAAGAACTGGTTCACCTTCTAATCATACCTAAGATTTATCATGATTTTCAGGGGATAGGAAGTATCCTGTTGATTGAATTCTTTGACAAATTGAAACTTAACCTGAAAATTCTTTTTCTGTCCACTCCATTGAAAATATTTCTAAAATATCTGTTATCTTTTCAGTCTTTAGAAAGCACAGGATAGGGAACATAATGGGGAATCTTTGGTGTTTGAACATACCCCAAACGCCTCGGGGCTGTCAATCTGAAAGCCACTTTAAATTTCAAAACTGTAAGTATAGAATCAGTGATTGATTTGAGCCAAACACATACTGAGGCTAGAACTTTCCATGGAAGTTAGTTTCATCTCTATGTGTATTTTAAAAAATACAATGGCGAGAGGCCAGTTAAGAACCTTTGGGTTTTGATACATTAAGCTACTTAGCACTTACTATCTGGCAGAAAAATGTTGAGGATGCAGAGGTGACAAGATATCCCTGAATTCAACAGGCAGTTTGAAGTTTTCTTGTGTTTTTATTACTATATTTTCATGTATTTGTGCTGTCTTAACTCTCTAATTTGGAAACCAGAAGTCTGGATAGAAGATAATGGACTTGGGATGGTGGGGAAATAAGAATTTTCTTAGGTGTAAGCAAGGACAAAATGTTAGCCTTGGCTCTCTCTTGTTAATGAGGTTATGGGATATGCTTTTCTCTTTCTTCATACTTTCATGTACTTTCCAAACTTTCTGAAAAAAGTTTGTTCAGAAAAAAATGGTTCCAAGATATTTAAAATCGGAAAACAAATTTATTTTTTAAATGTTACAGACAAAATCTACATCTAATGAGATAAAATACCTAAAGTACTTAGCACAGTCCCTAGCACCTAGTAGGGGCTTAATAAATATCAGCTATAATTATTGATATTATTATCATTATTGCTGTTTGTTCTCTTTGGTTGCAAGGAACAAAGGAAATTAAAACTGGCTTTAGCAAGAGATAGATTGGTAGATATACTAGGTAATATCTCAGGGAACCCAAGAGCAAAAATTACAGCTATGCCTCAAGAAAGGAATGGAGGTAAGAACTGAAAAGCCATCAGGATGCAGTCTGCTTCCTTCTCAACACCTGCTTCATTCTTTGCTCTTTGAAGAGACCCCCTTCTTTGCTTTTCAGTTCACATAGCACGCAGAAGAGAACCACCCCTCATCTTCTTACTCTAGATCTCCTTCATCTTAGATCAGTCTAGACTAAACTAGAATTTCTTAGTCCAAATCCCAGATGCTAAAGACAACAGATTTAATTGTTTCCTTTTCCCATATCATTTATCATCAAGTATATACTAAATAATTTATTTATTATGTTTATTGTTTATGATCTGCCTCTCCAGGTGCCCATGTGGCCTAATCAGTTGAGGCCAGATGGGCAGGATCGTGTCCAAAATGTACCTCTAGATGAGCCACTGCTAATGAATTGGGAGTCCAATAGCAATTTCTAGGGTTAAGGAAGGATTACTGGGTCATGGACCAGGGATATCCTCTAAAAGATCTCCACCAAAGTGTTTTTTCTCTCTTAAAGTAGTACCAAAGCAATGGTCTTTGTATTTACACACACACACACACACACACACAGAGTTCCCAATGTACCCACCAATGTGTAAAAAAAAATCTCCGTTAGCATTGAATTTAATTATTTAAATGTAATTTTTGACTTCTTTTATCTTAAAAATTGAATATATTATTCACATTTTAATAAATAATACATATTAGTAAGTTTAAAATTTATAACACAGTATCTTTTTTTTCCATAAAATGAAACAGAAAACTATTATTACAGGAAACTCCATTTCTGTACCTTGATCTGCATTCCTGTTTCTGTCACGGTTATTGTGGCTGGACATTCTTTGCCCCTCTGTATGCTGTTCCCTTACTGGGGCATAGCACATACCATGGGGAACAGAAGGGCATTTGGCAATGTGCCTGAATGCCGAGGAAGGGACCAAGACCCTTTTAGAATATTAACACACTGGGGGAGGTCAGTTTTGTAATGTGAAAAATCTGATTGTATGTACTCCACTAATAGGATCTGACACACCCCGGGTGTCATCTAAAGTAGAATAGAGCTCACAGCCTGTGCCAGAGGTGAAAAGAGATAGGATCCTGGGGAAAGCATACAAGTGTCATGGAGAGTAAAGAAAAGAAAGGGAAGGACCAAAGGTGGGAAAAAAATCATCTCTTACTGTATATACCAAGGGTTCATTAATGAGTCAGATGTGTCAGTCCTGGCTGTCCTCTTATGATAAACTTTCTCACCAGGTGCTCCTTCCACTTTCTTGCAAATAGGATTCCTTTAGCTTTTCCTACTAGTTGACTAGGTATCTCCACACACACACACATATATATATAGTGGACAAAACTTGGACTGAGGCTGGGAGCCCATCATCATCATCGTCTTACCTCTGTGTAATTCTTCATAGTTTAAAAAGTACTTTTACATCCAGTATATTGTTTTTTGTTTGTTTTTTTTTTTTTAAGATTTTTTTTATTTATTTATTTGAGAGAGAGAGTGAGAGAGAGAAAGAGCACAAGAGGGGGGAGCAGGAGAGGGAGAAGCAGACTCCCCGCTGAGCAGGGAGCCCGATGTGGGACTCGATCCCAGGACTCCAGGATCATGACCTGAGCCGAAGGCAGTTGCTTAACCAACTGAGCCACCCAGGCGCCCCAGTATATTGTTTAATGCTATCAACAACCCAGTGAGGTAGGCAGAGATGGATTTACCATGAAGCCAATGAAGTTCAAGTTTCAGCACCCTCTGGGAAGGATCTTCACAGAGTCACACAGTTACAAGATTTTGTAAAATTAGGAAAATTTTCTTTTAAAGACTTTATTTATTTGTCACAGAGACAGAGAGAACACAGGCAGGGGGAGTGGCAGGCAGAGGGAGAAGCAGGCTCCCCACTGAGCAGGGAGCCCGATGTGGGACTCAATCCCAGGGGATCATGGCCTGAGCTGAAGGCAGGCACTCAACTGACTGAGCCACCCAGGCACCCCAAATTCAGGAAAATTTTAACAGTAGATTAAGATTACTGTCACTCTCCACTCTGACTACCCTCCTTAGCACCTCCCTCATGTTGGGAAGCACTGGCATGTCCTTAGGCATTTTTGGAATCCAGCTGAGTTTGGATACATTTAGTTTGGATTTAGTGGAATGTAGTTATGCTGTTTGAAATCACTTTTGTGCTAAGTTATTGCCAGTTGTCTCAATGTAGGAATGGTTTCCAGGAACTCTTCTACTGCAAACTATGCAAATGAATGTTGACAATGCAGAGTATTTAAGGTTTGTCACTGCACAAGCCATCTTCAGATGCCTTGTAATCTTGTACCTCATACATGAAAGAAACTTGACGGGGATTTCCCAAATGTAACAACAATCCTAAAACTTTGTATGACATTACCAGAACAAGCTGTGGAGCCAAAATAAATCTTTTAAAACTAGCAATAGGAAAAAAAACTTGAATAACCAAATTAGAGAGAAGGCTACATAACTTTCCATTCACTATATAGAAAATAATATTACAAACATGATGAGCATCAGGTGATGCAAGGAATTATTGAATCACTCTATTGTACACCTGAAACTAACACTAGATGTTAACTAACTGGAATTAAAATAAAAACTTTCTTAAAAAAGAAAATAATATTATAAAACCATTGTCATATAAAAAGATGATCAGGGCGCCTGGGTGGCTCAGCTGTTAAGCAACTACCTTCAGCTCAGGTCATGATCCCAGGGTCCTGGGGTCAAGCCCCGCATCGGGCTCCCTGCTCTGTGGGAAGCCTGCGTCTCCCTCTCCCACTCCCCCTGCTTGTGTTCCCTCTCTCGCTGTGTCTCTCTCCGTCAAATAAATAAATAAAATCTTGAAAAAAAAAAAGTGATCAAAGATCACCAAGTTTTTGGAAAACGAGAATATGGAAATATGGAGATATTCATTCTTTTGGCTGTTTAATCCACAAATATTTATGATTTGCCTACTACATTTTCTTTTTTAAGATTGTATTTATTTGAAAGAGAGAGCGCGTGCATGAGTGGGGGAGGGGCAGGGGGAGAGGGAGAGGCAGACTCCCCTGCCCAGCAGGGAGTCCATCATAGGGCTCCTTCCCAGTACCCTGGGATCATGACCTGAGCCAAAGGCAGGCGCTCAACTGACCCAGCCACGCAGACACCCCTACATTTTCAAGAATGGTGATAGGGCCTGGGAATAGAACAGTGAACAGACATAAATAGTCCCCTGACATTGAGATAGTCATAGTTGAAGGTGGAGAAACCCCCTAACAATAATATCATTAATTGTTTATTTATGATTAGGATAATTGTGGAAAAGAGAAGTACCAGATGTTCTGAAAGCTAATCTAAGTCTGGGTTTAGGGTAGTTTTCCTTGGGGAAAAAAAAAAAGAATATGTAAACTGTAGGATTTAGTTTGGATTTAGAGGAATGTATTTATGTAGTTATGTAGTTTGAAATCACTTTTTTTTTTCCTGTTCTGTTCTTCTTTTTTTTTTTTTTAATTTTTTTGAACTCACGTTTGCGCTAAGTTGTTGCCATTTGTCTCAGGGTAGGAATGGAAGACAGAATGTCTCAATGTAGGGGAAGACAGAATATCCTACTCAGGGGGAAGAATAGGAACAAGGACTCTGAGGTGGAAAGGTACAGTACTTGTTGACTTCAAAGAACCAAAAAATGCCAGTGTAGCTAGCCTGTCATAAACAGTGGGGAAGGTGGTGAATGAATCCAACAGATGAGTTTGCCTGTTCTAAAACTTCAAATGAGTCAAATTTCAAGGATATAACATATATGCTTTCGTATAAGGCTTCTTTAACTCAGCATAATGTTTTTAAATTTAATCCATGCTGTCACATATATTTGTAGGTATTTGTTGCTGATTTATTCTGTTATAAGGATATACTACAATTTATCCATTCACCTGTTGATAGACTGAGTTATTATAGGTTTCGGCCATTAAGAAGAGAGCTGCTCTGAACATTTTTGTATAAGAGATGTGGTATTTTTAGTTCACTGTTTTTCCCACTTCACTGCAGTATAGACACAAGAATATGCTGTGTGTTGCACAAAATTTTTTTTTTTTTTTAAGATTTTATTTATTTGAGAGAGAGAGAGAGAGAGCAGGAGCAGTGGGAAAGAGCAAAGGGAGAGGGAGAAGCAGGCTCCACGCTGAGCAGGGAGCCCGATGTGGGACTCAATCCCAAGACCCTGGGATCATGACCTGAGCCGAAGGCAGATGAGCCACCCAGGCTCCCCTGCACAGAAGTTTTAATGAGAGTGCAAAGAACAGTTCAATACCTACTGTTCCCTTTTTTGACCTCATGAAGATACTTGGGTTCTAGAGTCTACAGATAAGAAGGTCTAGGTCAGGTAGTTCAATACGGACATGGCAGCAGCCTGGCCTGAGTTCTTCATTAACAACATCTGATCCATGAACCATATTTTGAGAGGGAAGATGTCCAGATAGGAAAATATTCTTGCCGATGCCTGAAGGGCGGGAACCTCTCTTGTCTACACACCCTCCAGTCTAAATAGGAATCTGTAACTACCGAAGAGATTCTTTATCCCCTGCCAACTAATTTAATCTTATTTCCCCTTGTCCCTTTCCTACTTCCCTTACAGGACTGACCTAATAGCAATGATCTGTAGCTCTAGCTTTTCTATATAACCCCATGGTACTTTCAG